GTAACATCTTCAGCGCTGAAGATGTTATCTAGACAGGTAATGAAATATCTGCAAGAAAACAGCCAAGCTCAGAGAACACCAAGGACTCCACAGTTCAATCCTGAGCTACAGATATTATCTTCTATTGAAATTAGAGTTTATATGCTACTCGGTCCAAAGCTCAAAGCAACTTACAAAGTAATAATTAAAAAGACAAAATAAAAACCATAATAAACAATAAACACCCTCCTCCCCTTCAAACCCAGCATCCCAAGGAATAGCTGCAACAATCAAATCCATAGCAAGCAGGTCCCCCTCATTGCTCAACTATTCCCCAAGGCTCTCTGAAAAAGCCACTTTTTTGTACCTTTTCAAAAAACCAACAGGATTGTAACCAATCTAATCTTGGGAGGAATGTGGTTCCAAAGAAATGAGGCCATGAAGGCGCATCCCTGTGCTCTTTGAAGATGACACTCCTTATGAGACAACACCTTGGCAAAACCCATCTTTCCCAATGTAATTGGGCAGGCAAAAGCCACTGGGAGAAGGCAGTCCCAATAGATATCCAAGTCTTAAACCACATGAGGCTTGAAAGGTGGCAACTAGCATCTTGAACAGCGCCTAGAAGGAAGCTAGCAACTAATGCAGCTGTTGCAGTAGATGAGTTAGATGGGGAAAAGCTAGAAGTTCCCATCACTACAGAAGCTGATGCATTCTGGACCAGCTGAAAAGATGGCTAAGGCATGAATAACAGGGCCTCCAGATTCAGGAGAAACAGGACCTCCTGATTCAGGAACAACCATAACTGGTGCACCAGATGAAGTTGTGTGAGAGTCCTCCTAACCCCGGCTGCTACCTGATCTTTAAGCAGCATGTATGGATCCAAGAGGTCACACAGGGAAGTACAATCCCATCCAGAGCCAAAGATGGAATATTCCTGGTATCGGAAGACTTCTGCACTTTTAGCCTTTCAGTCTTGCTGAGATTGGAGTACAGTGGGGCAAAAAAGTATTTAGTCAGCCACCAATTGTGCACGTTCTCCCACTTAAAA